CCAATGTGAAAACAATGTTGATTTGTTTTTTTTTTGATGTGAATGGCATTGTCCACAAAGAGTTCGTTCCGCCAGGACAAACAGTGAACCAACATTTTTACCTGGATGTGTTACGAAGATTACGAAAGAGTGTGCGACGAAAACGGTCCAAAATGTGGAGAAATGGGAACTGGTTGCTTCACCATGACAATGCTCCAGCCCACACAGCTTTGACGGTCCGACAGTTTTTGACAAGCAACAACATGGTGATTGTGCCTCATCCACCTTACTCACCTGACCTAGCTCCATCGGACTTTTTTTTGTTCCCACGGATGAAGAGAAGTCTGAAAGGAAAGCGATTCCGTGATGTGGATGAAGTCAAAGAAAACACGCTAAAGGCTTTGAACAGTATCCAGCCTCAAGAATTCCAGCACTGTTTTGAGCAGTGGCAAAAGCGTTGGGGCAAGTGCATTAATGCACATGGACAATACTTTGAAGGGGACTAATATACAGTTCAATAAAAATGCAAAAATAAAAAATAACAAAAATAAATTCCGGTTATTTTTGGGTCCCCCCTCGTATGTATGCGTTTATTCTATTTGTGTTGTCCTGTGTTTAGTAGCGGCCTTGCAATGAGGTGATCACCCATCCAAGGAGTCCTACCGTCTGTAAAATGATCATGAAACTGAGAAATCAGCCCTATACTCCAAAGTAGGAGCAAGATGAGAGAAAAAAAATGCTGTTTCTTGTAAATTCTGCTTCTTTGATGCACAAAATGTGAAACTGGTTGCATATTTTTGGAGAAGCCATCAGCGGAATGTAACTCTTCTGGGATAGTTAGCATCAGTAAGCCCTTAAACCCTTTAATATGGAACAGATATAGTGGCTTTTCACATAAAATTTGCACAACAGCATTTTGGGGGATGCTCCATATCTGCAGTCATGTGCTAGTCCCAGGTTCCCATTTCCTGAAAATCAGCTGATCATGGCCTTCCCCAGCCCATCTGGTTCAAAACAAATGTTGCACTGTTTCTGACATGCTGATTAATCTTGCTGAACATACTCCTTTCCAACATTCTGTAGCCAGAGAACTGTCATCTCCTAAACCATACAGGAAATGCATGCCTACCATTTCTGCATATCTGTAATTATTTGTCACTATCACCAGAACAAATGCAATATGACTGTCACATTGAAACATCCACGGAATGTAAACACAGAATGATGACTGCTACTGCACTGACACCTTATACACGGCACTCGGAACTACAGGCAATTACAGCACTACCGCTGATCTACACACTTTACAATTCACTGCTGCAAACATTAGTGTCCCCACTCTATTACAGTCTCCACTATCTATTTCCTGGCAATATATTTTAACACAGTAATTATAAGAGTCTCACTCAGTTACACTTCCAACCATCACTGCACTACAGCACACATAAAGACTTCTCTTCACAGCTGGACTTTCAACTCTTGACTGAACTCTCTCAATTCCTCCATCTTCTGCCGGCTGCCAACTACAGAACTCTCAAATCCAATGCTCTGCAACCACCATTTCTTCTCAACCATCTCTGATTGCTGACTCCAGGGACTCCCTCAATTCTGATTCCAACTGGCCTGTATTCCTCATTATATAGCATCAGGCTGACCCCAAGAGAAACACAATTTCCTAATAATTCCTCTATTTTTATAGGTGTGTGTTTACCTAAGCACTATGCAGAAACAGTAGTTCTTCTATTGTTGTGTGCATATGTGTTTACTGAGCCCGCTGCCTAGCAATGAAGGTCTACTCTAGCTTTGCTAATCCAGCTGTCAGACACCATCTCCCAGTACATTTGTAAACCATCAGAAAAAAGCAAGAAGTAGGCTAGACATGCCATGGTCACTAAACGTCCTAATATTCAAAAGGGCGATGGCTCCAAAATGCATCTGTTTGGAACAAATGTTCATATAGACATTTCTCACTCTGTGGATCATGTCCCACAGTTTGGTGAAACATTTTTCTTTCACTGGGCATGATAGTTTTCAAAATATTGACATACATAATATCTTTAAACAGTAAATTTAGACCAAGTATGCTGGTCACCTAAGATGATAAAGGGTGACAGTAGGTGAGACAGTCAATAAAGCAACATGCATTCTATTATTATAGGAACATAAGACTCTATGAATTTGTACAAGGCTGTTTACAACTTCATCATCTACACACCCCTTATCACATTTGGAGAAAGATTCTACTACATCTGAATTCCCTACTGACATATAAATACTTGCAGTATGTCAAAATTCACTCAGATAACTTTATCATGATGACATAATGATCTTATGTTACTTATCTGATGGTACACTTATGAAGATATTTCAGACAAAGTCTAATATACCATACTCTTACGGTTTCTTTTTCTTCTGATAAAAAGGCACATCTGCTGTGAACTCATGTTGAGATAAAAAATGCCAGAAGGAAACTGCTTCACAGAAAGTAATTCCTACACTGTCCTACACTGATGCTATCATTTGTTGCTTCATACTTATACTAGAAACAAGAGAATTAGAACTGTAAGTGCTGAATATGAATACCAGAAGTTTAAAAAACAGAACAGGTCTTTCCAATAATGACACAATGATCAACTTTCCTATCTGACATGACAAACCTTCCAACAAGTTTCACACTGACATCAAGCATCCACATACTATCAGACATACATTTAACCCTTATAAAAGAAAAATCTCCATCTCTAATATTATAGACTAAGCTTGCTCTGTGCACAACTAAAAATATTTCTGAATTAACTGCAAGCCAAATGACTTAAATACAGGACTAGTTAAAATTTCATGAATAAGAAAACCGGTATTATACAACTCTACTACTGAACTTTCCTACATTCATAGCCTCAACCTGTTTATTACACTACTACTGAATATTTAACTGAAGTAATTGCAAACAATAAATGGTTGATCTTGGCCATTTGGTACCTATCTATGAAACATTATAACAACATTTCAACCAACTTAAAAAGAACAAATTTACTGCTATATTAAATTTACTAAGTTATCTTTGAGTAAAACACTTACTGAAGTCAGAGGGTTTAGCTTGACTGAGATCACGGTAAAAGTCGGTACGATGAGACTTCTTCAGACCAGTGCAGAGGCCAAAATCAGAGAGCTTGATGTGTCCTCGGGCATCCAGGAGCAAGTTGTCTGGCTTAATGTCCCTGCATATATCACAGAAGTCATTCTATTTAACAATACTACATCAGTTAGAGATGTTATTTAGCAAAGAATGAGATATGCAAGGATTATTAGAATGCAATGTCAGACACAAGACATGCAATATTAAAAAAACATGTAAGTAACCTCCCCTTACATTTCTAGCAATACATCAGTAATTCTAACACACAGGATGTCCAGATCAAAGGTCTCCAAAAAAGAATTATAACTCGGAAACTAATTTTCATACATGTATCCAGTTTATTACATTGGAAAGGAAAACTCTGAAAGTTTCTTTTTCATGCCCGGCTTATGCTCATGCGCCAGTTGGTGACCTTCAGTGAGCTCAGTAACAACGTTGATACCACAGAAACAGTTTCAATGTGTGTTGTGTCTAGAATAGTTGCAATCTTTTATGGCTGTCCAGCATCATCTTACAACACAATATGGACATAAACACCCTGCATAGAAAAGCATTCAGTTCTGGGACAACAGGTGGTCTGTTGCATGTAAAATCTCCTGGAAAGACATGGACCTCGGAAGAAAATGTCAATTTAATTAGAGAGGCATTCCAATGAAGTCTGTGCATATCAATTTGCGCTGCTAGCTTACAGTTACAAATTCCACGTTCAACAGTGCACGATGTGCTACACAAGCCTAAGAGTGTAGTGTTGTAGTGTACAATATTCAAGTGATTGATGCACTAAAACCAGGTGACCAAGTAGCTCACACAAACTTCACTGTGGATATGCTAGATCACCCATTTTCCTCCACAAAGTGGGCTTCTCGGACGAGGCAACATTCCACATCTATGGAGCTGTAAACAGGTATAACTGGAGGATTTTTGGCAGTCAAAATCCACATGCCACATGTGAGTTGTATAGGCAGCCCCAAAGTGAACGTGTGGGCCAGCTTAATGTATGACAAGTTGAGTGGACCATTTTTCTTTTTGGAAAAGGTTGTGACCAGGCATTTGTACTTGGCCATACTGGAACTGTATGCGCTGCCCCCATTACCACCTCGAACTATCCTCTAACAAGATGGGGTACCACCACATTTCTGTCACCATGTTAGGAATCGCCTGGACAGAGAGATGGCTGGGAGATGGATCATCAAAGGTGGGCCAATTGCTTTGCCTCCTAGGTTGCCAGATTTAACCCAACTGGATTTTTTCTTGTCAGCTTATCTGAAGAATGCTGTATACCAGGTTAAGATCAAAGACCTTCAACACTAGAACCCCCACATAAAGGACGCTGTGGCTACGGTAACACCAAACGTGCTTCAAGCAACGTGGAAGGTTGAATATCATCTGGTTGTCATGCCAACAAGGGGGCCAACATTCAAATTTACTGAGAAAGTTACATACTTAGGAAAAAAACTCAGATAGTTTCCTTTTATAATGTTGTAAACCAGAAATGTGTATAATAAATGCTCTCTGAGATATAATTATTGGATATCTTTCATCTGAACACCCTGTTTTTATGTCACAAAATTCATAAATGAGAGAGACAATTTTCCCTAAATTACACAATGATATGCAGGGAAACGTTAACAGAAGTTTGCAAGAATATCTGAAAACCCTGTGCAATGTACAGGGTCACTGCAACCTAACTAACTTCGTGGAACTGAGCCCTTCTTGAGAAGCCGCCAGTTGTGCAGCTACTCAAGAACTTCCCAACATTTTTTTGGAACCCAAAGGTTCATTACCATGTTCACAAGAGGATCCACTGGTCCCTATCCTGTGCCAGATAAAATCAGTCCATTCACCCCATCCTGTCCTCCTGTGTATGTGGCACTGAAAACCCTTCCCACTGGTAAAGAGAGTTGTTTACAGCCATAAAAATGTCCAGTGCTATCTGCAGTTTCACTTGCTGCAACTGTCTGACCAATTCTCATAGATGACAATGTGAATGCTGAATGCTACCACAAGCTTCAATATCATTCTCATGAATGGGAATGAACTGAAAAGAAAAATTTTTCTAACACAATGAGACACAGCCACATACAACACATACAGTTTCTTATTTCCAGACATTTTCATTATAGAACCATCTGTTGCCATGCCCAATTTGGTATTAGACAAACACAGCCACAATACTTGCTGGATCTGAATCCCTTTAATGACTTCTTGTGTAGATTAGTGATGGACAATCTACAAGAACAATCCACAAATGAATTAAATAGCTGAAGACAGATATCATAGCTGCTATGGATAGCATTATTCAAGAAACACAGGATGCAGTTATAAAAAATTTCAGTTGACATCAGAAAACGGTAACGAATTCACATATCACAACATTCAAAATGCTTCTACCTGAAAAAAAAAACTCACGCATTCTGAACCACTCATGTTACTGCAACTCACCTAATATAAGGACATTTAGTAAAAAGGTGAGGAAAAGAATAAAGTTGCCCCTGTGTTTAGGTAATTAAGCACTAGGCCATGGAAAAGTATGGGGGAGTGGATGTATAGATCCAAGTTTTTCTTGATTTTGGCACTAGCTGGAGGTGAGTGGTCAGCCTGTCGCCCCAGCCACTATAACCCCGGGGGGAAAGAACACCCAGTACCTTTGGCTAAGAGGCTGGGTGTTACCCAGAGCTGGTCTGGATGACATGGAGAAAATTCTTGACCCTACAAGGTTTCAGACTCCAGCCCCTTGGCTGTCTAGCCCGTAGCCAGTTGCTGTACTAACTGCAATATCCCAGCTCCTCATTTATAACTTTTGTGCTTTTAATTAATGATCCTAGACATTTTACAGGTATCTTGTGTGATTTTTAAACATTCTGCGTTTTTATAGCATAAGCATAAGATGCTACAGCTTTTAGATTCTATATTTATCTCCATTTCACCAAGAGCCTGCAACTAATGTGAATTAACCTGTGTTCTAATTAAGGGCTTCTTTTATCACAGTGCTTACTACTTTCCTAACAATAATTTATATTTACAGAGCATAATTTCAATTACCTGTGGATGAAGCCCAGTTTGTGTATAGAGTCAATGGCCAAGGCTGTTTCTGCTATATAGAACTGAGTACATTCTTCAGAAAGAGTGTCCTTCTTCATCAAGAGTGTCATCATATCGCCTGAAAAAGCAATACTGTATTCATTTCATGTCTACTGTGTCAGTTCTAATTAATATGAAGATGGATTGTATTTTGTCACTAGCAGCAAGGACCTGGCCTTGCCTGGAGTAAGCTGGTGTTCTCCATTTTGACTGAACTCAGCACACTAAGATTGTAATCTTATATGAACATTCCTTCAGTGTCCCATGCAATAATACCAAGCACATCCAATTCCTACAGAAATGCAACTGGTAGTCATGTTATTCAAGACAGCGATAGCTTACTCACAAAAACCTGCATCACAGTTTTACAGTTTTACAGTTTGCAACACATCCCCTAAACACAAAACACATTATCTTTTATTTCTGTTTATCTTTGGTTTTATAAAAATCTTGACAATGTCTTTATTTTCAGTCTGAGATACTGCAACATATTTCTGTTACCTTCAGAACAAAATTCTAATCAGTACTTTTCACCTTCTTCAGAACACCAAATTATAAAATTTATTAATTTACCTATGGAAATCAAAATACTCATGCCATAATCTAGTGTGATTACATTTCATTCCCATGGTTACATACTGTGACAGTCCAAACCTTTTACAACTCTTCATTGGACGCTATTGTCCTCTTTAGCCATTTCAATAGAGTGACTGATTTATTGGGGTGACCGATCATTAGCATGTTATGATTTGCTTTTCGCATCTGCACAGAAAAAACTGCCTTGTTTTGTTACCTGCAGCTTGGGTGAAGGGAATGGGACGAAGCCACCACGAAAGGCAAGTCTGTAGTTTGCCGAAGATGTAAATTTTGTTTTGCTAATAGAGTAGCTGTTATAAAAGTGTCTTCGGAAGGGTGTAATTGGACCCTAAACTAAGAAATAACCGCTTTCACATGTGGGGTTCCGGGTTCAATATCTTTGGATCTCTTTATTCTCAAAGTTCGTTATGTGATTGTCTAGTGCTGATGGTATGATGGATTTGACAGTTAAAATCAGCCAATAGGAAACTATTCTCGTCTGGGAGAAAGGCCGTCGGTTCAAATCCTATACAGGGGATGAAGCGACGCTCCCGCAGGATAGAATTGGCAGAAGGACTTGGCGTTTTGAATTCATCAGAGGCAGATGTCATTGGGCTGCACTCTCCAAGTTTATCTAAATTTATCAGTCTTTATTTGGTTCGATTAATCTTTGATAATAATAAAAAAGGGCACATTACTCCGTACTTGCTAATAAAGTTATAGTGTTTGCTTCTGAAATAAACAATTTGTGGAGAGCAGAAATAGTGTCTTTGATTTCTAGCAGTGGACTAGTTTTAAATGTGCAGTTTCACCGTTGCCTCAGTCATTACCGTGACACGGTCCTGAGAAGTGTCAAGTGGTCTACTGAAGCCGGCAAATAAATACAAAGATAGAAAACTGTAGGTTCAAAGAAAATTGTGTCTTCTATGTAACTTGCTACCTAAAATGGCATTCATGTATAGACGTCCATGACAAGTGCATCAGTAACTTACCTCCTGGAAGGAACTCCATGATGAGATACAGATTGATGGGATCCTGAAAACTGTAGTACATTTTGACTACCCACTGGTGATCAGCTTCTACCAACACATCTCTCTCAGCCCGTACATGGGCCACCTGCTCCTTCTCCAACATGTCAGCTTTCCGAAGAATCTTCATAGCATAGACATGACCTGTGTCTTTCTTCTGCACCAGCCTAACTTCACCAAATGCCCCCCGCCCTATCACTTTCAGTGGCTCAAAGTCCTCAACACCCAATCTTGACCTCTTCAGCCTTAGGAACTCAGTCTCCTTCTGTGCATGTTGCTGCCGCTTCTCCTGCTTCTGAGCCTCTGTCAGGCCCTCATCTTTAAGAGATTCTTCTAACTTTGCCAACCTGAAACAGATAAATATTAATTATCAATACCAACATACTCACAGAACACAAGAATCAGTTTTATTAATATTATAGTCTTTGCAATCTTAAAAAAGCAGCATCAAATATTCAAACCTAAATGACACAAAGAGACAGGTTTGTGTAAACTCAAGTGGATCTAACTGGAACTTCTACAGAGCCATACGTGTATATATAAAAATGTGTGTGTGCATACACACACACACACACACACGAATATGTATAATCAGTAGCACACTCTCAATTATGGTGCCAGCCTACTAGGCTAAAAATCAAGGATCCACAATAGGTATGGGAGATCTACTGTTAGTTCCTCAGAACTCTAGCCATGGTAGAGGGGTCATACCATCTCTCGCAGGGCTGGGGGAGCAGTCTTACTGCATACATCAGCATGGGTACTACCAGTTTGGAATGTAGCGTCTTGGAGTGTGGTCAGGTGTATAGAATGTTGTGTTGCTTGTTAGGTGGTACCAGTCACAGCAATTGTATTATGTGGCTTTCATGTCATTATCATGGCACACCGACAATCATAGTGAGGCCAGGGAAGTAACAGCTAATGTTCTCCACTTGGGAAGTAGCTTTGAACATAACCACAGCAAGCGTACAGCTTCGCACATTCCACAACAGTGTTTACCTATCTGCGCGGCTAAAGTTACGAGGCACTAACTATACACACTTCATGCTTAAATCTGAAAAAGAGTATTATGAGGTTATTAAATATTTGAGATAGTAATGGAGTAATAATTCATGAAATAATAAATCAATATGCAGGTCCAATGATCTAGTATCGAAACCTAATCTGCTTAACTTCTTTAAATCTTCATGTGGAAAATTATAATACAAGCTGTAAGAAAATTACAATTTTCACTAAATTTGGACAATAACAAAATTCTACATGGAGACCTACAGGTATTTCTATGACTTTCAAGCACAACTCTCTAGATATTTATTGGAGGGAGGAATGTTTCATATAAAAGTTGTAACCAAACATGTAACACATTTTATATCCAATACACTTTTCCTGTAGGTTTTGAGCACTTCAAGACAAATCTTTTGGGCCGTGCCACAGCTCATGCGGTTAGTTGCTGGCTTCCCACTGCAGTGGCCCGGGTTCTATCCCGGGTCTGGAAAAGTGGGATTTGTGGTGGACAAAGTGGCGCTGGGGCAGGTTTTCTCCGAGTACTTAGGTTTCCCCTGCCAATCTTCATTCCACCAACTGCTCCACAATCACCCTCACCTATCACAATAGCTGGTACAATACGCCAGAAGTCGCCGCAGTACGAGGGACTTAGCCCCACCCCAATAGCAATAAAAAAAAAAGATAAATCTAAGCAATTATTTTCCCATGATGTCTCAAATTCAAAACAACTGGGCTGACTTGCCAAGATTTTATACGGGAGGTCCTTACACAGATTTCTTAAAGGCCATATCTGTCTCTCTAGTTGGAAGTAACCTTATGGCAGTGGCTATACCTCTGGGCAAATATTTGTAACACCCGAAGTGGCAGAAATAAAACATGAAGTTATGAGCAATTTCAATTGTCTGCTAAGGCCATAAACAGAGGTGTTCATGCACCTCATATACTGCTAATCAAACTTCATAAACAGGAGGCAAATGAGTTCAGCAAACTGCATGCCACTGGGAATTTTGTGTGCTATAATGTGTAGAACAAACAGTTTCCAATCTTGTTCCCATTTTACATCACACAGCTCAAACTCTTTCTCCTAAAACTTTCCATACAGATTAATTAAGGTTTGTGAAAGATGAATGTTATACATTTTTAAAAACTGCATTTTGCAGAATATATACATTTAGACAACTGATTCACATGCTGATAACACTGTGGGGTTAAGTTCTGTAGTATAAGGTGCCAAAATGCAGAGTAGTGTAATTAATAAAAGTACAGTTGAGCATATACTGAAATTTTTTTATGAACCACTTCAGCCATTATATTTTATACTGATAATGAAGCAATAAAAACCATAAAGAATAACATGTGTTAGAAACTCTACTAAAACAACACCAACAGAGACCAGCGCCATCTACAAAAACACACAGTCCATCGGCAATTTATACACAGGAAATAACTCTCTACACTCTCAATTACAGTGAGAATTTTTACTTTGTTGGTCGGTTTCACAGCTCTGTGCTTCAAGCCTGCGAGATGTATACAAATTCTGCTGATGAATCAGCATGTTTGAAGGCCAATAACATTTGGAATGGAGCAGTTACAATCCACAGATCAAAGCTAATGCTGAAAATCTTGTCCATCTGCACGCATATATCTTTCACAATTAATTGTTTTGTTATAAAACAAAGGCACAGCAATCCTTCTTACATTAACAGCACACCAGACACCAACTTTCACTGGATGGAGCAGAACTTCGTGGGTGAGGTGCAGATTCTGTGAACTCCAGTAGCAATTATTTTGCATATCCCTGCAAGTGAAACCATGCTTCAGCAGAAAAGAATGTCAGCTGCGGGTTGATCTCACCTTCAACGACAGACTGTAGAAACCAACTTCAAAAATGAACCCTGCTAGCTGGATCATACGACTGCAAAGCGTGGACCTGTTGTCTTATGAGGGGTACAGGCTTCAGCAACTGTGCTGCTCTTCTTGCACCAGACTCTGATACTGCAGTCTCTTGAGATAAACATTCCAGTGATTTTCTTGGTGTATGTTCTAGTCTGGCCCATACCTCATCGAACCTCTCCTCAGTAAGCACTTGATTATTAAGAAACCCGTTGTTCTAAGTTTATTCACTAAATTGTGAACTGTTTGTCTGCTGGGAACTTCCTCATCGTGAAATTTACTTTGAAGTTTTTGCCGACACTTTCTAGCAGATACATATTTTAAATAGGTGTCATACAGAAATACATGTTGATCTAAAGTACACTGCTCATTAAGTGACAACAAATGGCGGCTAATGGAGCTAATAACTGCTGCCTTTTTTTTTCCCCCCCCCTGTGGCACTACAGCCCCAATTTGGGCCTAGGCCTACCTCCATGAAACTGTCCGTTTCACTTCGGTTTACTAGATCTTACACATTTGGTAGGAATCCTTGGGCGAGTGATCAGCTCGTCGCAAGGCCTCTACCTGTAGACAAACACAGAAAAACGCACACAAACATCCATGCCCTGAGTGGGATTCGAACCCATGATCCCGGCTTCCGAGCGAGCGAAAACAGTGCATGCCTTAGACCACTCGGCTACCGTGACCGGCAATAACTGCTGCCTACTCTTGGCAAATCATAAACAAACTCTCACACATGAACCTCACTGCTCACTGTGAAACATAATGTAGTCAAGTGGTCCACAAGCAATTACCTTCCTTCATTCCAAATGTCATCAGACATCAGGCATGCTAATTTATTGGCAAAATTCGTTATGTGCCTTGAGGAAAGTAGCACACCAGTCACTGTAAACCACAGAGACGTGAACCCGTCAAGAAAGCTAAAAAACAAAAACTCTCTGTACAAAGGGATTTAAATGTAAACATTACTGCTAAAAATTAATGTATGCTAACCAGCCTCCTCTTTAACACTTTCCTGTAAGCCTCTGATGATGTTCCTTTATGTCTGAAACAAGGCATATTTTATGAAACAAATAAGGTTTCTTACTTCAGTTGGTTGAGACACTATGCTACAAAGCCGGAAGATTGCGGGTTCAAGTCCCGATGAGGTCAATGGATTTTTGTCAATTGACCTAATCCATCCGGCCGCACTATGGCCCTGGGGTCGACTCAGCCTCTAACAGAAATCAGTACCAGGAATTAATTAAATAATTTTCCTGGGGAGTAAAGCACGGCCGGCGTGTAGGGCTGACAACCTTGCCGCCATCTGTCTAGATAATGTGGGACCCTCAACATCTCACAACCCTATGGGCCTTCACGGCCTGTTACAGGGATAGCTTTACTTTTTTTTTTACTTTTACATGTTATACTTTACAGTTCTTATTGCTTCTTAGCTGACATAATCTGTTGCAAGATATGTCAGCTGAAACTGAGATTTCAAAAATAATAAAATTACATTATACTAAAAGAATGTTAAAATGAGACAACTATTTCAGTAACAACTGACATCATTTTCTGATATAATCTATGATGAGAGTTGGAAGGATACCTCTGTTTGCGCTCGTAATGCTGTGCGATGAGGTTGCTATAATAATTTTCTAGTGTGACCTTCGCCTTGGTTGCCTTGTCCAGCGTATGGCCGCTGAATCGGATCGTGTTCTCCGTGGCTGTCATCTCCAGGACCCCTGTAACCCAGAACAGAATACTAACCTTCATTCATCTTTTCAACTTAAAGTTCATTACAAGGTTAAAACTAAAAATGTCTGAAAACACAGTAATTATTAAAACTATATTTCACAGTATCCTTTTCATATTCCAGAATGACCCATGTATACACAGGAGGCACATAGTAACTTATTTGGTTGAGGCACTATGCTACAAGCCAGAAGGTCACAGGTTCGATTCCTGATAAGGTCACTGGATTTTTCAATTGACCTAATCTGTCCAGCCACACTATGACCCTGGGGTTGACTCAGCCCCTAACAGGAAGTAGTACCAGGAATCTTCCTGGGGGGTAAAGGGTGGCCGGCATGTAAGGTTGATCTCACCATCGGTGACCCTATTGTTTAGAAAATGTGGGAGTCTCAACATTTTGCAACCCCCCATGGGCCTCCGCGGCCAATTACAGAGATAGAGATACCTTTTCACCTTATCAGTATATACACACATCCTACAGACCACAAATGATGGATTAACATAAACACTGAAGTACAGAGAATACTTCTATGAACACATTCCTTGCCAAGTATCTGTGTCTGTATAAAAAGAAACAATTAAAAACTGATGTTACAATTGGAATTTAAATTAAAAGTTACTTATTCATATCTGAAGCTTCACTTATTTACTTTCAGAACACAGTGTACACAGTTAAACAGCCAGAACACAGATCATCATCGGCAAAAACAGCCCTTTTTAAGCTGTAGCCTTCCTCAGAAGACACTGCCAGACCTGTCTACTCTATCATGAACTATGTCTTCCACTTTTCACTTCTTTGGTTTTTGCAACAGCAGATTTTTTAGTGGAGCAAGAGCCTTGTATCAGACCTCCAACCTGGAGGTCCAGGTCTCTGTATCTGTGTCCTGCAGTGATGGTGGGCCAGGTATACCACTGGGTTCCCTTTTCATCGCCTTCCAAGGCTTGTAGGGCTATGGTGGAGGTATCCTATCTTGCCTCCAGACAGGACACTGGCATGATTACATTTGTGGTTAAATCACCTGGTTACACATACACGATGGTGACTAAAATACCACGGCTGCATGTAGAATTACGACTTGCATGTTCATTCTGTTTGCCTTCCACAGAATTATACTGCTAACATATCTACCTTCCTTTACTGGGTTACAGTGCTGTATTCATTTAAAAAAAAACAACACTGACTGCTTACAAAAGTTAGAAATAATTTATAACCTAACATTACCTTAACTTCCCTTGCTTCATTCTCTTCTGCCTTGTTCACGTTTCTAATGAATACAAAAATCCATCCCACAAAACTATATTTAACATACACTGTAAATTACACAAAGGCCTGAGTTCAATCCTAGGGGAGTTTGTGGAGCATCTGTGGAGGGCCAAGTGGCAAGTTCTCCAAGTACAGTTCTCCCATGCCAGTTACTATCCCACCAATACTCCATACTCATCTACCATCAAAGGCTGATACAACCGCCACATCTGAGGCTGCAGTATCAGATCAGTTTGTTAGATCCACAGAACACAACAGCAGCCAAACTACAACATAACACTAACTGCATACCATAAACAAAGCCAAAACGATGAAGGAACAAGAAATTGTAATACAAGATAAAAGGGCAACCCCACAACAATGAATTCTATAAGGAGTACTAAATACAACACTCGACCACCAATCGGAGGACAAAACATACTAACAATACACATCATTTCACATGCAATAAAAAACCGAACGAGGCATCTGAACCCTCTCCGAACAACAACCATGCAACTATGGGAAACCGCGAACTTCCTATACATTATTTTGTGTAATTTAACCTAGGCAATAGGCATAACCATCTGAAACAGTAAGTTCACACACACATAAATACACCATATATATGGGGTAATTCCTTCTGGAACCCCGACAATAACTTAGAATCACACTACCCTTGGTCTACAGAGTGATTCTAAATTGTTCTCGGTGTTTCCGGAGGGACTTATGAATTACCCTGTATATGATATATACATACACAATTACAGGTATATCTATACACATAATTTAATTCATTTCATTTAATTTAATTTCAATATAATGTATATTATAGTTTTTACTAATGAACAAATAACTGGCCAAACTGACCACATCCAAATGTGAATATATGAACATGGGCCCAAGGACAAAAGAATATGGGCTCTGATTGAATGAACTGATGTTTCTATGTATTGAGCCACCTGATGACGACCCAGTAATCAGGGTCGAAACACACAGTGGAAAATAAAAACACGTCGAATGTTACATAAATGCGCTGATGGTTATCGTGAGCAGTTCTAATCGCTGAATGGAAGGTTTAGTTCCCATAACTGTCAAGCAATTACCGTCCTGTTACGACGTGACTTTGAAACGATGCAGTCAGTGAGATCAGTCTCTTAACGGCACTTTAACAAGGCTCAGTCGATTTCTCGAACATCTGACGATACCAACGTATTTCTCGATGATGAGATCATGCGAGGACTATTCGAAAATAGAATGACAGTTGTGTAAGATTTGAGGTTTTCACGGCGGTGACTATGAAGAATGCCGTCTTCTGGGATTTGGCGCCGTGTAGACATAGTATAAACCGACGTTTCGGAGGAACGTATTGCCTCCATCTTCAGGGTAGAAAAAGAAAAATCCAGGAGCGGGGAACCAACGTGAGAAGGTGGCTGCAGACTTTTTATCGCCTCCATCTTCAAGGTAGGAGAAAAAAATCCGCGAGCGAGGAACCAGCGTGAGGCGGTGGATGGAGGCGATACGTTCCTCCGAAACGCCGGTTTATATTATGTCTACACTGCGCCACATCCCAGAAGACGTCATTCTTCAAAATGAAAGTTGCATTATTATCCTTGAGAAGGAAAGGACAATAATACATGACGCAACATCCGCAATTATCACGGTTTTGAAAACATTGAAGGAAATGTTTTCTATGCTGAATGGTTCTCATTGTATTGCGAAGTGTTTGCGTTTATCATCTTAATTTCGTCCGTGGATTTCTTTTAATGTAAAGAGGCCACGGTCTGAGAGTTCGTTTCGGTCGACAGTTTGTATGTTTCCAGAATGAACATGGCTGCAACCAACATGTGTCACAAACATCAAGACAGACAAAACAAAGGTATGGTTCAAGGGCCTCCGTTTCTTCTCTACAGTCACAGTGGATGAACATCAATGAGAGGTCGTCATTTCAGTTCCTTATGTCTCAAAACTGTTCTCACAGTCGGTCCTGTTATTCTGCCACTTGAGCTCAATCCATGTACCTCGCAGCACCAAGCGAGCTCCCATCACGAAACGGGATTCAGTCTCAGAGGCTCCAAGGAGCAGAATCATTATAAGCAAGTTAACAGTCGGTCAGCTAGTCACGAAATCCGTCTCTTAAGGAATACGAGGTTTCATTACCGTGTTCACAAGACCTCGTCTCTGATCCATAACCCGGGGATTAATCCAGTCTACGTCGGGACACTGTTTCTTTAAGATTCGTTTTAATATTATTCTCCCAACTACGCCCTGACATACCATATGGTCTCCTCCCTCCTGGCTGACGGGCTAAAATTTTGTAAGCACTTCTAGTCTGACAAGCAGGCCTTACGTCCTGTCTCCTGAACCTTGATTTGATTACCTAGTATCTGGTGCATTTACCCAAAGCCTTCTGTAACTTCTCAGCACTTTGTTCTCAGACACCACTAATGTTCTTCGGCACGCGATTTGGTATGTTTTGACGTTCATCTGCTGCTCATGAATGCAAAAAGGTAAAAGAAGGTAAAGGTAAAGCTGTCCCTGTGCTTAGCTAATTAAGCACTACGCCATGAAGGCGTATGGCGGAGTGCATGTATAGATCCATATTTTCTTGACCTCGGCATAAGATGGAGGTGAGTGGTCAGCTTCACGCCACTGCTGCTTTATACCCGGGAAAAGTGCCCCCGGTACCCACTGCACAGGAGGTTGGGTGGACTTAAGAGCCAGTCTGGATGACACGGAGAAATGAATATTCTTACCCCCATCGGATTCGAACTCCGACACCTTGGTCGTCCAGCCCGTAGCCAGTCGCTATACCGACCGCGCTACCCCGGCCTTTGAATGTACTGCTGCGAGGTTGTCTGCACACGAGATATCAAAGTACCCAGCCAGGGAATATTTTGCCTGTGTTTTATTACTCGCCACATCAAAAAACGTTTGAAATAGTCTGATTTTGACGACATGTGATAGAGTAATTTGTTTCTCGACGAACCGCATGATGAGAAATTCAAGTTCGTGCTGAGTTTACCGCAAACCATGGATCAAACCAAATTCGACCGTGACATAAATCAGGCGTTCAGTCGCCGGTCTGCCACCGCAACGACCCGGATTCGATCGCATGTCAGGTCATGTGATGTTTATAATAGAGAAAGTTGCGCTAGGGCGGGTTTTTTCCCCCCGAGTCCATCTGTTTTCCTTGCCAATTTTCATCCCACCAGCTGTTCCGTATTCATTAATCGCCTTATTATCGACACTATGTAGCCTCCGTACCGACTGGCGTCGTTAAATATCCAACTTCATAAATAAATTAGTCTACAACTTTCAGCGTAAATACCTAATACTCGATTTGATGGAATCTCGTTCAGAAGTCGGAGGCGGGAAACACGGACAGACCCACCCATAATGCTGCGTTCATTTTACACATTTCGTGAGAAGAATACTTACAACTGGCTGTGTGTGTTACGTCTTCCTGGAATTATGAAAGGCAGAGTTAATTCTGTGATATCATGACAATAAAAGGCGTGGAGGTAAGGCAATACACTTAACGCTGATACTAACTAGAAGTTTTTTTTTGGACGTGATGACGTTAAAATAGATAGTTTCATGTCACACTTCTTGGAATTATATCAAATGCGCCTTTGTGTTATGTTCGCGCTTCCTGTGATAAGAACAGATGTCTTGATCAGTATTTACCTAAAATGATGTTCACTGCAGCAACAGATTACAAAATGTACCAACACTACCATATTC